AGGAGTTTAGACAGTAGCTCATAGGTACTGACCTGTGGCAGCTTCCCTTCATCGACCACTCCGCATGCGATTCTGGATTGCATTACTGATGCAGCTTAAGTTACAAGAAGGGCGAGCCCCCAAGAAACGGACTTGCCTCGATCCCAAACTGCAAACCCAACATCCTCAGATGCGAAGTTCTAAACCCCCCGGCACCGACATCAGAAACACTGAGTTAAAACCCCTCACTCCTAAACCCTAAACCCTCAGCCTTGAGCCTTAAACCTGGGCGCACCTCTTATTGGAGAGTGCTGAAGTGATTTCATGTGATGTTGTCAACTGTGGGTAGAGTTTACTTTGTTCAGTGTTGGTACCCAGACCCCTGGGAGGATCTAAAAATTAGATCCCCTATATAGACCCATTCTAGCCCCTATATAATCCTTATAGAATCCCCCCTATGGTTCTAGGGGATCTATTTTTTAATCCTTTTGGGGGTCTGGGTATGCTCTTCTTGTAAAAAAGGCGGAGTGCGTAAGTGCTTCTGGCCTGGCTCCACTAGAGCATTCCAACCCATCTGAGTCGTATTTTATTTGGGGATACTATGGTACCCAATATAGGGTTTAGGGGTTTAGGGTTTAGGGCCCTCTAATGGAGAATCAAGTGGAAAAGAACATGGAAAATGAAATGGAAACTGGGATTATGTAGGGATTATGTGTGTATTATTTGATATGGGGATGCTATGCTACCCAATATAGAGTAAGATTATACCCTCCTTTTGGGGTATAGTACTTTACATAAGGAATATTATCTCACTGGGCTTAACCACCAAAAAAACACTAGTCATCTTGGCAGGTGGAAAAGGGCCCGCCAAAAAAGAATCTTGAGTTGAAGGCTTTTGACCCTAACCCCCCAGCCTACAGCCTAAACCTTGAGTGCTGAACCCTGAACTCTGAACTCTACATCCTGAACTCTGATCCCTTAACCCTACACCCCAAACTAATAGCTGAGCCCTAACCACCCCAACCACCCCAACCACCCTAGCCACCCTAACCACCCTAACCACTAAACCCTGAACCCAGGATTGCGTGGCTGGATCGTGCAACTGGTTCCCTGCGCCGCACAGCGGAGTTACCCGCTGCACCACGCGCTTGCCGAGCGCTGAGCGGTGGCCACGTGGGAGTTGCTGAAAATTCATGTGAGCTATAGTCTAAACTCCTTAAAGGGGGTTTTATAGGGGAGTCTAGTGGGGACTACTATAGGACTTATTAAGGGGGATACTAGGAGTTTAGACTATAGCTCATGTAGAAGCCTCAAGAACAAATTGCAGTGGATTCGCTGCGATTGACGTGCCCCCAAACCCCATGCAGTATATTGAGGCTCCTACATACACGTGTTCTGATTGGTGGTTGTAGGGAGCAGAAATTTCATTTCGGATTTCAGGGCCCAGGGTCGTTTGCTTATTGGAGGTTAGTGGGATATGGGTAACAGTTTTTTCAAGAAGCAGTAGAGGCATTACTGTGAAAATCACTTGCCTTCTTCGCTGCTAAGCTCCAGTAATACCTTGTGGGAAGAGTAGCAGAAGGATATGCTGGGAAGTGTATGGTTTGCAATTTGATCCGGGCACTGGTCCACAACTTGAGAATGAATAGAATATTGCTTATAGGGATTGCTGTAATTGAGGATTCTGGGTTTTCATTCGTTGATTCCCTACTAGCCACACTATGCCCAAACCCCTAAATCCCTAAATCCCAAAAACTGCTAAGCCCCGAAGCCCCTTAACCAAAAAAAACTGAGCTCCCAACCCTTAAACCCTTTAACCCCAAACTCTAACTTGGGAATCTTGAAGGTCTTGGTTGGAGGCAGCTTCGGCCTGCAATGCTTCAATGCGGCAGGTCTGAAATTGTGGGATTTGCCTGCTGTGCAAGAGGCATGAGCTTTCAAAAAACAGAATTCTATAGAAGCCCAAATGAGAACGCCATGATCCCCGTATAATCCCCTCATACACCTCGGGCTGCACCCTAAACCCTAAACCCGAAAAAAGGGTCCCTAAGGGCCTCCCATTTGACAATTCCTCAGGTGAAGGCGCTCTCACCTGTTCGCGGTGGCCGCGTGGCTGCACTCACTGAGAACGGCACTGTGGCGGTGGTGGGACACAGCGGCTCTCTTCTGGCACATCGTCGCTTCGGGTATGATTACGTGACCTCGGTGGAGCTCTTCAGCGATGGCCGCGTGGTGCTTGGTGCTTTCACGAACAATTGGGCCAGTAACCCTGTGCAGATTGCACGCGTAGCGACTTGGTTGCTGTGAATACAAGGACACCCCATTATGTACTATACACCCGCATTATGGTAGCTCAATTCAAGTTTCTTAACAGCAACCCAGGAGATCTACAGCTGGGACCTACAGACACGTCAGGCTCAGACTTGGCGAAAACCCTTGGCCCTAAATCCTAACCTTAAACCCTAAACCCTAAACTTATAAAGAGTTTCTCTGGCAAATGCCAGGATGTTAGAAAGGCGTTTTTATTCATAAAAAGGGCATTCCTGGAAGGCATTTGTGTCCAAGGGGTCTGTCAAAAGGCATTCCTGAAAGGCGTTTTTCCAAGGGGTCGATCAAAAGGCATTCCTGAAAAGCCTTTCAGAAACATTGAGTACTTGGGAAGAAGACCCATGAAGCATAATATGGAATGTGGGCTTAGGTCCAGTGATTGTTGTTTGCAGAGGCAGGGGACTTGGCAAGTCAATAATAAGCTGAGCTGGGGTTTAGGGGCCTTGGGCCAGGTCTTAGGTTCTTGGATTTAGAGGCTAGGCCGTACAGCCTAGGCCCTAGGACCCTAGTCATATGGAGGCTTGCTGGGGCGCGTGCCGGTGAATGCTTTTTCTGGGCGCCAGGAAAATGAAACGCTTTTCAGAAATGCCGTTTGGCAGGAAACGTATGCGAAAACGTCTTTTTTGGAAGGCCGGAAAACATTAACAAAAACGACTTTTACATTGTTTGGGCGGTTTCCGGCCTCCCAAAAAAAGCGTTTTTGCAGCGCTTTTTTTTAGTGGCCCCGAAAAAAGGCGCTTCTGGAAGCCATTCTGCCCTAGCCCTCCCCAAAAATGTTTCAGGGAGGCTTGGGAGGCCTGGGAGGCTGCAGGAGGCCTGGGAGGAGGCCTTGGGAGAGTAAAATTTGGCTTTGGGCGCTTGTTCAAAAAAATGTGGCAAACAATTAACATGTTGCACTGCATGATGTACATGACACCTTCTTCTGTGCTTGGAATGAAACTTTTGCTGAGTTGCATGCATGGATTCGCGAAAAGGACGCTTGGCCATTCCAAAACGCTTTTACTTTCACGTGCCTTTAGGAAACACCTTTGGGAAACACCTTTATGCTGAAACGCCTTTAGGAAAATCTTTGCAAAACACCTTTATTTCGCAACGCATTCAGGAAATGCCTCAAAACCGCCTTTGGGAACGCATTCTCAACATGCCCCCAAATGCAAAGCCAGGACTTATAAGCCTAAACCTCAAAACCCTCAAGCCTAAACCCTAAAACCTTAAAGCCTAAAGTCTAAACCCTAAAACCCTAAACCCTAAAGCCTAAAGCCTAAACCCTAAAACCCTAAAAGCCTAAACCCTAAGCCCTAAAACCCTAAAGGCTCAGACTTGGGGACAGTTCACAGCCTCAGAGTTGGATGCTGCGCGCAACATGGCCGACACCCGCATCTACAGCCTGGCTACTGGGTTGTTAGGGTTCAGGGGTTAGGGTTTAGGATTTAGGGTTTAGGGTTTAGGATTTAGGGTTGAGGGTTGAGGATT